ATCATGTAAGTACGGATACCCACGAAGTATATGTGTTTTATCTCGGCAATGAAATGACCTGAAGAACAGAAAGCGAGAGAGAGAAAGGGAACAGGTTGAAAGAACTCTGAGGGATAGGTGTTAACTGCTATTTCATACGTAAGCGTACTTTGTATATCGAACATTTTATTTAAGAAAAGGTTTCTTTGGGAAAGTTGACACAGTAATGTATAAATTTTAGGGATAGGTTCGCCCGCTCGTCTTCAGACCTGAGAAAATGAGCAACAAACAATTAAAATTTTAAATGGCCAGAAGAATCAATAATAATCTGATGGGCACACTGATTGACGGAATTGTGCCAGTCTGCCCCAGTAGGCGTTCAGCATTTTGTCATTCCGCCGTGGTTGGTCCCGCGCATTGAACGTTGCTTTGAGGTAATTATACCTGGCGTCTTAATCAACATGCCTGTTAATGCATACCTCGTCTGAGTGCATTGCTTTTAGGAATTCACGGCCTTTTTTAGTTGGATAAGTGCCAAACATTCCTGTGTTCTCCCATACGAATTTTTTGACCGGTTTTCAGTGTATGCATGGTCACTTGGGATCTTCTGACTGCTGATTGATGTTGGTGTATGCGGGTTAAGGCGCATTTCCCCGTTCGGCCACAACAAACTGCATCACAACTGGTTCGCGGGATCTTTTAGACAACATCTTTTACTTCATGATAGTCAACTCTGTCCTTATGGTGTACACGGTGTGATTGTAAGGTGGCTGTGGGTTGGTGTGCCACTTGCATCTAGTGTCTTCAATGTTTTCCTTCGACAAGCTCAGATAAATTTTTACGTATGGGAGAGTTCGCCAGGTTAGTGTTTTCGATACCTGGTTGGCTGCACCATTTGAAATGCCTTTTTTCTCTTCCATTGAATTTTTCTCGTTTTATGAACTGAAACACGACATTTCGTGGACATCCATTTTTGGAGAATAATTGAAAAGTTGTTTCATTTCTTCTTGGTAAGCTCAGTTATCGGAGCAGTTTTAATTATGCTGTACAGACTACAATTATCTGTCTACTAGCGTACAAATTCTTCTCCTTCTATTCGAGACCGGGCGAGGAGGTCGTAGTACGGATCTTAGTAAGGTAAATCGAATGT